TTTGTTCGGATTGATTAATCAGAAAATTAAAAAATATAACACGACAGGTTAAAAATACAAAGTATCGCTTTATTAAGGGTTAATTTGTGGATTGTAAGACTCGATGCAAGTTTCTGAAAAATCACAAGTTTCGTTGATACTCGAACAAGACCAGTGAAACTCGATACCAGCCGAGAATGGTAGAACTCAAGACTCGTGGGACTCACGTGACCCAGGGGAACTAGAAGTCCCGATGGTTTCAAATGTTTGACGAGATTCGAACAGGCTGAACTTGTGAAACCTCTTGTGGTCCTTCAGGACTTCCGGTCTTGTATAATGCCACTGAATTCGCTATCTTATCACGAGTCTAATGTTGGCTGGATCGAGCATGACTGTACTATAATATTTGCATTGAATCTAACTCGAGATCCTGTAATCTCGAGGTTACGTATTTTATTTATTCTATTATAATCTTAGTTTTGGGATGTATTGGTTACTAATAGAAGATAATATTCAAATAATGTTTGATGATTTTTTATGAAATTTCACGCATGACAAATTGACTGATTTTATGAAAAGCAGTTTTTATAAAAATATGTGACATGTAAAATTGTGGATATACTTCCTAATACAAAACAGATATAAAATGAAGTTAATGGAATTCTTTTCTGTGAAATGTAAATAAAAATGTGTAGAAAATGTTGACAATATAAAATGTACCTACTAATTGTTCTATCAACTCGATCCATAAGGAATAAAACTTTTACGTAGTTTAAACATGAGTAGAAATAATCATTATATGCAAATATACGTATTTATAAATTAATGAACAAGAACTTTTATTACGGTTATCCTTATCACGATGCTAAAATAACAGCTATTTTAAATTTAAATTATATTATTCATTGATTATGCTTTATGCATTTGTGAATTTTACATGTCCATTAGATCCACAATCTAATAATTCTGTATAAGTATCAATTTACTCAATATAAATTGCTAACCTCGCAAAATACTTTGTTGTCGAACATCAAAATCATACGTTACTTGGATTCTGATTGTGGTAGGTTTTTGCAGGCGCAGAGAATTGTATCGGCTGTAGACTCGAAACCGTTTGATTGGCTGGCGAAGACCGACCGTATCTACTGACCCGTTAAGTAAAACCCAGACGGTCTGCATTTTATGCGTCTGACGTTGCATACACGTTCGTTCGTACTCAAGTACGTTACATAAACTGTAACAATGCTTCTCCGCGTTGTTGGAAATCCAAAGTAAAGAATAACAACAGTTTATTTTAATTACAATAAACAAATAATTTTTTAGTGAACTGCAACTGATAATAAAACAAAACAATCTACATATAAAGAATTTAATTTGATCCGGGAAATTTATATACAATTACATTTTAAAAACTAAATCGAAAATCTGAATGTGACAATTTATGCGCTTTAATTTGTTGTTGCAAAAAATTGTGTTTCAATTTCTTTCAAGTACCATTACTTAATCAAATCGATCAAACACAAATGCTATAATCACCAGGAAACAATTCTATATGAAAATATAATTTACAAATGTATAATAACATTTATTCATTTGAAATTTCTTACTCGAGAAAATTCAATATGAACATTTTTGAAACATACCTGCATTTATTTAACCATTTATACAGTATATTCGAACTCGATTATTTGAAAAATGAGGTTTCGAATAAAGAAATTTCATTGTATATTTATCGCGTATTGAATTTTTGTATGCGCAAGAATTTCCAAAAAGCATGTGTCCTTGACAAATATGTACGCTCGATTTTCTCGAAAAAATAGTTTTGCATAAAAAAATATTATTATATCTCTCCCACACATTTTTTCATATAGATTCACATAATGAAGACATCGTGATTGTTATTTCAAAGCATTATTGGCTTGCAGTTATTTCATATAAGAAAAAATCATATTATGAAGAACAATATTGCAAGCAATATCAAAGATATCGGTGACGCAGATATTAGAATAAAGCAGTAATATCCATTTTTAACGGAACTCTATATATTACACTTTACAAGAGTCGCGTGAAACCGCCCATTGTTTTACGGTGAATTGTTAATCTTCGTGAATGGAGTTGAAAAACACGGTATTAGAAACAATTTCCAGAGCACATTGAAGTATAGACGAAGTAGCGACATGCATTTTTATTCGAGCACAATGGATTCTTTTCATGAGTATTTCGTTAAAACTTCCATTCAACGTGGCTCCATTATTTTAACGTTCACCGTGACTTTTCATGAATCATATTGTAAAGCGCAATGTTTATACATTTAATAGGGTTATTTGGCAGCTGACACAAAACAACAATATTTATTTTTCCGTGTATGGACGGTTTACAAAAGGTCCGTTAAATCCTCTTGTTAAAATCTGTTCCGGCGTTTCATCATTCCACGCGGGGAAATTATTTCGATAAGCATTCGACAGCATCGAAAGCACGGTAATGTAATTTAATTTTATTTGCCTCGAGATTTTTCCAAAACCGAGTTGCTCCATTAATATCGTCGTCGAATAAAATGCGCTTGTGGATTATGTTCCAATAACAAACTCCGTTTTTCATGTCTCTCGGTACTGAAATGATATTATCTTCTACCTTTTCACGTCATTGATCGCGCAAAAGCGTTAGCCGCTTGTACCCGTCAAAAGCATATTTTTCGCTTATCCGAGGCAGGACGAGATTGAGCCGCGCGGATCAAGTACGCGTTTGCACAACGCACGATTCTACCCAATGTTATGCCTGTACGTATATACGTATATAATAAAAATGTATACTGTCATCCAGGTAAATATTTTTTAATTATCGGGTAAAAATTCGAAACTAAGTGAATGAAATATCATGTTTCTGCTTTCACGTTTACATTGTGGAACTGACATTTCTGTTCGCGAATTTTACGATATAAACGGTTTTTCTTAATTATAAAATATGTTGCATGTGGAAGTTACGAAGACAGCTGTTTTTACGTTTGGTTTTATTACAGTGCACATAGGTTTTCGTATCTTTACTGACATCTATTACATACGTACAGCCGTTGTAGTTGATCAAATATAATATTAAAAGAACATTTGAACATTTGAAATTCAAGAAACACGTTATGTTATTAAGTAATCAATTTTCAATTTGTTTCAATGGTTTGGTAATTTTATTGACGATAAAAGTTATTTGCTTTTTTTATCTTTGATAACACGATTTTCTATCTTATGATAACATATCTGAAACAAATATGAAATTACGTCTGTTAAAAGGTTGGTAGGGCACTTTCAAAACTAAGGGCCATATATCTGGTTTTGTATATACGTACAAAAGGAATGGGATATACCAAAATAACGCATAACGTTAAAAGTAATATACTAAAACTAAATTAACTTCCTGTATACAAAATGATAAGGCATTTAAATTATAAAATTGAAGAGATACTGAAATTTCAATAAAATTGCATATCTCCTTATAATATAATAAACTCTTTCAGTATTGTGAGGATCTTATTTTCAATTCAAAGGGTATATTGTATTGCTATCCAACATTTTCCAAGCGTTCTCTATAGTATCGAGGTTAAGAAATAATTTGTAACTGTGTTAGCGGTATGCCCAGTTGCGTTATCCGGCTGCTGCATATACTTTCTTTTAATAAGTTGAATTATTTCGTGGTATTAATTAGCCACAGAATAAATTTTATTTTAAAATTTTATTTTGAAAAGCTGAAAAAGTTTGCTTAAAAAGCATAGCATTGGTTAAATTCAACCCAATCCTATACCTTTCAAGCAAACTTTTTCAACTGTCATTAATTAACCTCAATATTTTATTGTCATTAAACAATAAGTTTTACAAATTAACAATTCCTATAACATATATTTATGACAATTTAAATTAAGACTATCTTAAACAAAAATCTGAAATCAATAAATGCTTTCCTCGTTCCACTCGAACTCCATTTATAATTATTAACCACTTCTACTGATACTACCAGTCCAGTTAGTCGTGAGCTTTTTGTCTCAAAGAAGACAATCACGTGATTCGACGATAAATCAGAAAGTAAATGTTGCTGCACACTAGTAACCAATCGTATATTGCCAAGTAGCCGTTATTTGTCAACTAAAATGTTCTTCCACGTAAATTTTATTATTACAATATTTTTACATAAACTTTTTACTATCGCAGCAAAAATCGACATAACAATGTTAGCCAAATAGAAATCCAAATCAATTTTGTGAAGTGTTCACTCAAACAAATTAAAGTCAAGTACCTCGTTGCCAACATAAGATTTAACCACCAAAATCATAAATTTCTTAACCCAATTGCATCATTAACGTGTATATACGTTCAATTTTGTTACTCATTATCACAAGAGAATTAAGTGTGACTTTATATTTTCCGTTAGCTAGAAAATAAAAATGGAGGGTGTTATCGGAAATGAAAGTAGTAAGTCTGATTAGTAGTAGCCCTTTTCACTTATTCTAATTTTTCTACTTAGATCAAATTTTTTAAAAATCCATGATAAAGGCCTTCTTTTTCACACTTCCTTATAATGCAAATGGGTTAATCATCCACTGTTCTATACAACCAACAAAAAATGAAACGATCTGCCTGTGCAACGTCGTCTGCAAATATGTTGCAGCAAAAGTCGTTGAAACAGTAAGTAACAAGTACCAATTCCTTTATAAATCTAATAATCTCCCGCAACTCTCGTCCCTCCGGTAAATGCCGGAACAATCGGACCTCCGCTCAAGAACAAACAGCTCCGTGCCGCGTTCCGCGTCTCCTTATCACTCTTTAACTTCGCATTATCTAAAATTCAAGTTTCCTCTGTCGAGCGAAAAGGTGAAACGGTTTCCTTCGAGAAAACTTTCCCAACCCGTGACTCCGTGTGTACGTAGCCCCGATACCTTTAGTTTCATACGCCCCCTCCCGACGGTGGCCCCGAACTTTTTTACTGCCAGGCAAGTTTCACAGAAATCGTTATCCTTTTATATTGCAGAACCGGCGGAGGCAATATGCTGGGTGACGTCAACATCTCCGCGATATTGGACTCGTTCTCCGTCAGTTACGATAAAAGAGTAAGGCCGAACTACGGAGGTGAGTAGGGTTGCGATTTTTCCTGGCTATCGTATAGTCCGAATCATTCGACTATCCTGCGGTAGCATCGATGATCGTGCGCAAAATCGCGATCGTCTTTCGCCACGTGATTAGCTTGTTAACCGGAGATAATGAGTATTCGTTGTTCGTCTTCACACCTTTATCTTCAACTAATTCTTCATTTTCTTTGTAAACATTCTTACATTAAATTCTATTGTAATGTTCGTGGAAATATTAACACCAAAGTTACCGAGCAATTAGACTGACTTATTTCCAATCTTTTATAGAAATCAGAACAATACGTTTCTTGAGATTCGAAGGGTCTCCTAGTCTTGTATCTGTACAAATACACAAATTTAATAGAAAATCTTTCCAAAAACGCCTTCGTAATTTAAATACTTGCAAAATAAACATTCTGAAGATAGTCAATTTGACCTTTTCGGTAGTTTTCGGTAGTTTTAGTGTTAATGAAATTATTGTAACTTTTATCATTACGGGTTAAATCATGTTAGTTTGCTGCCATTTCACTTGTTTTTCGTTTGTATGAATGGTCGTGATTAAGAAATTAGCCGGTTAACAGGTTGATTTGTTGTTATCTCTCGAATAGAGACGATCGATTCACGTTTTGCGTACGATTGTTCGATCATTTCTCGCATACCCGCTTTCTCGACGCATTTCTGATAGTCGTTGCACGGACTGGGCATATCGGGAGTCCTTTTCGTAGCGAATGCAGCATCGTCTCGAGAATTACTCACATATGTACGATTCTGTTTTTCTTTTTTTCTTTTTTTTTTCTTCTTTCTTCAATGGAGTCATTACGAATCAGAGCTACGTTATACGATATTTCGAGAAATCGACTTTACACGCTGCGAATATCGGGATAAGAGTTTCCGAACGTGTGCTTGGGTAAGAGTAAAAAGTAAGTTTTATAGAAGAGTGGCTATTAGTGCTGGAACGTGGATCAATAAGAAATAAAACAAAAATATTTGGAGATAAAAAATATTGGAAGATGTGTATCTATGTCTGCCATTTTCAATGAAATAGAAGGAACAAGTATTAGATTGAACGAAAAGTCTCATCGTATTTTTTAAGGATGCCTGAAAATAAATTCCACTTCAATGAAGAAAATTTTATTAAACTATGCGTCACATACTGTATTCCAAAATTTCCTTCAGTTTTTTATTTATTTATAATATTTTTTCTCGTATCATTATTACACTCCAGATTTTATGCGTATATACCAAATACGAGTATCCAATATAGAAGATAGAGAAATGTTAATATAAACATTTATTTTATACTTCAATTAAATATATTTCATACTCATAAAATAAATTATTTCGTACATTAATACTTTACCTTTAGCTGATTCAAATCTGCAAGAGAAAACATCTAAACATTTTTATTTCGCATGAAAATCTGCAGTCTGCGACAGGTATCAACGCCACATTGAAAAGAAAAATGAAACTTTTTGACCGGGCCGGTCTAATGGGTTCAATTACCGTAGCGGAAGGATGGGGTCAGCGAAGAAGAATTGAGACTTCCGATAGCGTAAAATGGGAATAGATTTTAACGAAAAATAACACACCACAAACGTAAGGAAAGAAGTCCGTGAAAAAAAGGGGGGAAAATCGGCAGAGTAACGAACGAAAAACGGTCCGGAAACGTTGATCGAGATACGACAAAGGGACAAAAGCGGGACGACAATGTAGAGGAGGGTAGTACGCTCCGGGAAATATTTTTGACGCCGCTTACTCTTTCGTCGCGGACGATACAGAGAAGAATATTCGGAACAATAGGGAGCAAGCTCGTGGGCGTGTACTTTGCCGTCGTAAAAATTCTCAGCCGTTGCCGGACATGGAATGAAAAGTCGCGTCATTTTTCGATTCGCCGCCGGATAGAATTACTCGCTGGTCACGTTGATGTAGTTAGAACCGCGAATGAAATGCAATGTGAATAAGACTTTAAGAATTTATGTATACATAAACAACTGCTGCCTATTTGTCACCATGTTTATGTTATGAGAAATGACGCTGCTACAGAGAGTGAATACAATTTTTAAAAATAATTTTCTGTGATGTAACTTAAATGGATATATTTGATGTTAATTTTCATTGGTGAATGCAATAAGTCTTTAATTCTTAGATTGTGAAGATGCTCATGTATTATTGGTAGACTGCAGATCTTTCTGCAAATGCAAACATTTGAGAACGCGAGTAAAAAAATAAAATTACGGTGGAAAATACTTTTTCTAAGAAATGCTATGGAAACTATATTATGAATAATTTTTATATTTTTCTTATTGAGCACATTTTGTGCGATTTTGCATTTTCAAATTTCTCATGGATGTATACAAATCTGTAGTCTATTATAAAATAGAAGTGGATATTTGGTGAACGTAAAAAGAATGTTTGAATCAAAGATATAGATGAAACGAAATGTAGTTTTTTGATTGATGAAGTACTCTGTAATTAAGAATTTATATTAATTGTTTAAAAATGTCGGAATAAATTTTGTACAGAAAAAGTAGTAATGATGTTAGTAATCTTTGAAATGTTTTGTATAAGATACTATAATAACTTCACTTACTTATATGTATAAACGTAATAAGGTGTGTAAAAGTTATGAAAAAATATTAGAATCATAATGAAGGCATATATATTTATACCTACTTTTCACTTTGAAATTTGAATTTAAAACTGAGTAATAATACCGTAGTAGGTAATACTTAGATTAACCCAACCGTTTTACCTCACATCAAGGCTAATAGGATTATACACACATTTCCAATCTATCAGAATAAATTACATCAACTTCTGAAATAACAATTTTAAAACGTACATCTTTCCCAGAATAACTTTTATACATAAAATGCTCTGACATATTCCATATCTTTTCACTTACATAATCTTATAATTACATGCTTCAATTTCAGATACTATAAATAGATAAAAATTCAGTCATATACCAAAAAATAATAAAAATGAATAAAATATTGCACTATATTCATTTAATAAAAATCTATAAATTTCTCTTTAAACACTACCAATACAACAATAGTACCATTAATAAACATAAGTCCATAAGTATCAATCCTTTGTACTTGATTTATTCGCAATGTTGTTGTAATAAACTTGTGTTTATTTTTAGGAAAACGAATTAAAATAATTTACAGCTGTAGAATTCAACGTTTTATATTTATTTCATTTAATATTATTATAATTATTGTGGTATTAAATAAAATTCTTAGAATATTTTAAGTTGTGGCAATTTTTAAAACAATTTCTAGCGTTCTATAATAAATTTATATTGTCATCTCCAGTATAACATACGAGTGCAAAGAGTTAAAGAAGAATACTTTTTACCAAAGAACTTCATTTTCAACAATAAACATCATCATTACTGATTAAGACAAAATGAATCCTGAATCTAGTATGCTATCTGCCACGATGCAATCTGTCATGCAAAGGATAAAAGAATCGTTTCTACAACCGACGGAATGAAGAAACTTCAAGGAAAAAGACACAGTAAAGTGTCTCGTTCGTCGATGCCGGTGCTTCGGTAGAAAGTTGGTCTATTGACTAGCTATCAACAAGGGCAGGTTGCGCCAGCTGACGTCGGAAGAAACCGATAGCCAGAATTTGTTTACGGATACAGCTGGGACCGTAGGTAGTGTCGTGGCTCGAGTACCATAAAGGCGGCGTGTATCGACGGTTTTCAATTCCCACGATAAAGTCAAATTTTCGGCTACAGTCCCAGGCGGTGGTAGGGCGGGGCTGGGGCGCTTCGATAAAACTTGGATCGATGCTGGGACGCGGCCCGGGTTGCCACGGGTTACCGTTAACGGCATCTCCGTTCCGACCACGCTCCCCCGCAGTTCTTTACCTTCGATTACAATTTCAACATTGATTCTGTCAGCCAAGCGTCTACGCTGTCACCGATCCCGCTGCGGGGCGTTCTCGAATTCCCGCCTTGTCTCTGACGCCGATCGTCACCGAGACGACCGCATCGCACCGTTGCATTCTTCTATCGAGATCACCCCGTGTTCCGTTCTTCCTACTTTCTCCTCGAGAATCGACGTCGAACCACGAATATTCGATTCAGGACCCCCCGAACGTGAGCAATGAAAGGAGTTCAGAGATGTTTATCTGTGATGCGTATGATTTCTTTTCCTTTTTTATATATTTGAGTTTGTTTTAAGGTGGCCACGTTGATAGTAAAGTCATTAGTGTCCACCAACATTTGGATACATTACTTGTTACTTAGTAGTACTTAATATATAATAAATTATTGTATAATAATATACTAGTTGTGTGAATAATAATAGAAGATCTTCGGAATAAACATAACTTGATTATAATGAATTTAGATGGTTAACTTGATTGAAAAACTTGAGCGCATTCTACATACTGGTGAGATTGTTTAGGTTCGTCTTCGTATGAGATTTAATGTTGCAGCTGTTTCTTTTAGAAGAGAGAAAGGGGCGATTTATTAGAATATGTTTAATACTTAGAGGCATTTCTAAATGCAAAGTATGCATTTATGTGGAGGTTGTTTTGTTAGTAAATATTCGTGTGTTAATCCCAAATTGCCTGGATACAGATTAGTGCAACTTGATCTTTTCTGGTTAACACTGGGATATTTGGATTTTCTTGTAAACTGCGTCTTACTTTATCGGGTTTAGTTGGAAGGGAGTTGAACCATGTGCGGTTCCAAAATTCTCTAATTGATTCTTTGATGGTGATTTGGCATCGTGAAGATTCATAGGGACTTTTTCACACTGATTTAATTTGGTTGCCTCTTTAGTCGATTTATTTGCAGCTTCATTACGTGCAATTCCTATATGCCTGGTGGTTCATGCTAATTTGACGTTGTTTCCTTTATTTTTGATATTCGTAATAGTTTTTTATACATATGATTTATTGTATTCACGTGGTGCACGTGACTTTATATTTCACTGTACTAACGTTACCAGTCAAATAACTGGCTACGAAATAATG